TTGTTGTTATCCTACAATGTACACAAGTATGGCCAAAGTTTTATAGACGATGACAAGTTAATATCAGGAAAATACTACATTGTACTTGGCTTAAACAGCCGGGCAGTGTTTTACTCAGTGATGCCACAACCAAAAGCCTGGATTATTGTGTGGAGCTTGGCTTTGTTGTGCGGTGAACACCTCCACTAGGGTGTCCTGCCAAGTAAGAACACAGAGAAAGAGAAACCCAAAGACTGAAGGAACTCCCTGGCCTTCCAGAGATCTGTGATTGTGCTACTTGGCACTGATCAGACACTAAAAAGGGAGACACGGAAAGACCCTACCATAGGTCAAGTACACGGCCTCTGTCAGTACAGCCCTTGTTTGCAGACAAATGCTCTACCCTTGAGCCACACCCCCAAAGATACTGGAATTCCTTTTTTTCCCTGGCACCATGGATCAAACTCAGGACCTTCCAGGTGCTTGTGTCGCTGAGCTATATCCCCTTGTTTGGGTTAGGGTGCGGTGGGAAATTAATCTTTGCAGTTTGAATAAATCGTCCTGGGCTTTGACTATTTCATCATTTAAAGTCTGAGCATAAGAGAAAAGATAACAGGATCTTGTGGGACAGAACTTGTTATTTGTTTTTTTCATGTTTCTTGTCCCATTGGAAGATCTTTTGACTTGCTGTTGGGTGACAAATGCATTTATCTGACATTGTTTTGCATTTTAATTTGAAGTATTTCCTAACTCACTGAATTAAGTGTGTGATTACATTGTCTCCTAATCCAAAGTAGGAGCTAGCATTGGTGTGGTACACTGTGAGTAGGATAGTATGTTTTTAAATGCCATAGTTTATGGTTCTCCCTTTTGTTTGTTTTTTCTTTTAACCATTAAAATATTATTCTGATAGAACCCTGCAAGTTCTGTCTTTTGAACTTCAGAAAGACAAATTTGTCTTAAAAGTTTAGTATATTGACAGGTTTTAGTTTTACCTTACGTTAATAAAAATAACTAAAATCTGCTTCAGTGAGTGGCAGAAAATGATATCACCATTGTACTGAGAAGACTTTCCAGGGAAGATGCGGGGGCTTGAGAAACAGGAAATTAGAGGAGAGACTCGTGTTCTCAGCACCTCAAATTAAGCCAACCATTTAACATTTGCAGTCTTTGAAATTAAAACTCTCTTTGCATTTCAAAAAGTGCTTTTTCAAAGTGCATTTCAAAAGGAAAAAAAAAAAAAGAATCTTTCTACCATCAGACTGAAAGAACATCTACATATATTTTTAGAAAAGAATGTCAATATAATCTTTGAATTTCAGTTCAGAGTTATCAACAACAGACTTTTCTTATCACCACGTTGAGGTCACTTTGTGGGTGTGTGGAATGAAGGCCTGCCAGATCGAACTCCTATTGTTAGAATATTTTCCTTTCTTATTTTGTGAATCCAAAGCACAGGTCTTATCTGAGTCTTGTGTGGGTCATTCTTGATTTTAAACAAGGAGAGTGTTCCAGAGCTGTGGGCTAGCACCTCACACCACACCCACTGGCCAAGGACATGAAAAGCCACACTGCCACAGCTATATTAATATAAATTGATATTGCACACACTCACACACACACACACCAATAGTTGCTGTTTAAGCAGAATACTCTCTGGGATTTTTTTCCTTCATTATGTTACAATAATCTCCCTAAGAAGTGATCGAATAGATATACCATAGTTCATATAAATGCCATATGAGTTTATGCATTTGTAAATTTTTGGTATGAAGCTTTTCTCTCAAGTGTGTTTTTGCTTTGTCCTTGTGCCAGCTGCCTTTCCTTTGCACTGACTGCTTTCCCAGCTGACAGTGACAGGTAGCCACCATCTAAACCACCTTTGTTGTAGCGGAGAGCAAGTGCTGTTCTTTAATATGCATGTACTGTCTTGCAGTTTGTGATGTCTGGCTGGGGGACAGGTTATTCATTTGGATGTGATATTGTTGACTATTCACGGTCGCCCAAAGCTCTGAGGGTAAGTTTCTCTTTGGAAGAACTTGTAATTCCAAACTGATGTTGAAACTCTTTGCACTCCGTTTGCAGCATTGGATGTGAGCTCAGAATGAGAGGAATTAATGAGCAGGCCCCACAGGTCGTATGTGTGGGGGCTGCTCAGTACTACAAGAAAGACCCAGTAGAGGTGATAATTTCCTGCAAAGGAAAATGGGTGCTTGTCTTTTTGAGCTTTGTGGATGTAAAAGTAAGTTAATGGGGAGTTCCTGAAAAACAAGATTACTGTAAAATCTAGCAGTTTCTGTGGGAATCAAAGGCAGCAACTCAACAAGATAGTTGTACACTTGCAGTCTTTGCAGCATCATTTATAATAGTCAAAAGGTAGACGCAACTCAAGTGTTTGTGGATGGGTAAATGAATAAACAACATGTGGTAAATATGTATTATAAAATACATCTAGGTCTGTGGAGAGAGGGAGAGAGAGGGGAGACTGATTATACAGCCTTTATAAGAAAGGAAATTATAGGGCCAGCCAGATAGCGCAGTGGCCTGAAGTGCCCACGTAGGCAGAGCATAGGGGCCAGGGTTCAATCCCCAACACCACAAGCACTGAGACGGTGATTGAGACTGGGTGTGCTGGTGCATGCCCATAATCCCAGTGCATGAGAGGCTGAAAGTAGGAAGATCACGATGAGTCTGATCTACATAGTGAGACCCTGTAAACCCTGTACTAAATGCATTAAAAAGAAAAGAAATTCTTATGCTACAATGAGAACTGAAACAGTACAGTCAGAAAAGGAATGACACAACATAAATTGGCTTGTACATCAAGGGTGGTAGTCAAGCATGTATGACAAAAATAAGAATGATGGCTAGTGCTTGAGCCGAGGAGGAATGAGAAGTTATTTTTGGAATGGATAGAGTTTTAATTTTTCAAAATAAAAGAGTTCCATGGATAGATGGTACTGATGACTGCATGACATTGTGTGTTTAATGCCACTGAACTGTACATTAAAGAGTGGTCAAGTTGGTAAATTCTACTATGCATTTTCCCAAAACTTTTAGAAAGCAAACTTTTCTGGTGTTGAAATAATTTCTTATCTATCTGTGTCTCTCTAGATGGTAAACACCTGCTGGCTTTATTACTTCTCCAAATTTATTGAGCTGTTAGACACGGTGAGTATGTGGTCACCTTGTTTCGTAAATATTTGATGTTTCAGTGAAGGTAATAAACTGCTATCATTCTGTTCTCTGAGATAACTGGCTATCACTCCTCGAACAGACCCACCATTATCTCTTTTGCCTTTTACTGTAAGTAATTTTAGAAAATAAGTCAAGCTTATTATGGAGCTGTTCTAAACTGCAAAAGATAGGGTTTTTAAAATAATCGCCACCTGATTAAGATAGGCAGAGAGCTGCCACTTATACTGCAAAACAACATCTAGATGTGGAAGAAGGCAGTCGTAGTTGTTTTATGACACAAATTCAAGAAGCCAACATCAGAGCTCTTAGACCCACACACTGTGTTATCCGTACTCCGTTAGCAAATTAATGCTTCTGAACTCAGAAATGTAAGCTAGGAGGTGAAGCTATTCCTGTGTTACTGTCACGTTAGCTGCCTTCCTGCAGTCGGAGCTCACTGGGCCCTGGCTCCTCATACTTGAGATCTTAGTGAAGATCCACTTTAGACTCTGGCAATGGGGTTCTTGGAGAAGCAAGCATCAGGGCCCAGTCTGTGCTGAGAGGAGAAAGCCATGAAGCAGGTTAGGAAAGCTGGGTATCTACTATGTGCCTGTGGCAGATAGACGTTAGTCATTTGGAGCTAGTGTTGGTCTGAGACAAAAAAAAAAAAAAAATAGATTCTTCGCCTGGGGTTACAGCCTCACATTTCTCATGGGAAATCTCAACATGCTTTAGCTTCTCCATTCAAGATGATGTTAGAGTAAGAAGGGACTTCAGCAGACACTGAGTCCAGGGGTTCTCAAACCTTAGCATGCACTGAGACACTTAGAGGGCTAATTAAACCACACACACCTGGACCTGAAGCCCTGGCACTTCTGATGTAGCAGGTCTTAGGTGGGGCTCATGAATTTTTCTTTCTAATGAGTTCTTAGATGATGCTAATACTGTTCGGCCAGGAGCCACACTTTGAGAACCCCAGTGCCTGTAGTTCAGCGTGGTGGAAATCACAGCCCGGGGTACACAGCCAGTGCATTGCGCTGCACCTCCAGGGATCAGGTATCAGATGGGCTGGAGTAGAGACCAGGAACGACAATTCTGCAGAAGTTTCCTGGGTGTTGTAATATGGAATAGGGGCAGAGAACCATGGATCCAGACCAGACTCTGAGAAACAGTAAGGCTAGGAAACTAAGGGACTTCTCAGAGGACGGCTGCTCCTGGGTGGGAGCAGGACAGCCTCGTCAGTTTGGGCTTTGCTGGTGCCTGGGCTGTGTCCCTCCCTGTGCAGCAGTTCCACTTGGGCTTCAAGAGTTATCCTGTGCCTCCTCAGTTCCAGCTTCTGTGAGAACAGCATGGCTGCCTCTTTGTTCTTTCCTGAGCTGTTCCTCTGACACTACGTTACAATAGTACTATTGTTTGTGTTATGCTCTTTAGTCCTGAATTTAAAAGTCAAACTTCAACCATGGTATCCTGGATTTCACTTTGGAATTTTTAAACACTCCACCCCAAATCCTCCTCTTGTGTCCTTTACCGGGTGGCTTCAAACCCCAGGGAATGTTTGGTCTGTGTGGTGCTTTCCTTGCCCTGCTTGTTTTTCTTTTTTTCTTTTCTTCTCTCTCTCTTTTTTTTTTAACCTCTTATTCTCCTGTGTTTAATTGTTTGCCCTATTTGGTGGGTTCTTTCTGTTGTCATTCACGCGGCTGGGACCAATTTGCTCCTTCTCTAGAACATCATTTAGTAGTCTGTGTAGGCTTGGCTTTGTTGTCATGAAATTCTTTAGTTGTTCTTTGTCATGGAAATATTTCACTTCTCCTTTATACTTGAAAGAGAGTTTTGCAGGATATATCAGTCTGGGTTGGAATTTGTTTTCTTGCAAGACTTGAAGTACTTTGCTCCATGCCCTTCTTGACTTGATGGTTTGTGAGGAGAAATCTGCTGTTATTCTGATGGGTTTCCCTTTAAATGTGATCTGTTTCTTTTCTTTAGAGCTTTTAGCATACTGTTCCTATGTTGAATTTCTGGGATCTTGATTATTATATGTCTGGGTGTGGTTTTAATTGAGTTGATGTTATTTGGAGTTCTATGTGCTTCAGTTACTGAATGTTAGATTGTTTCTCCATATCTGAGAAGTTTTCTGCTATTACTTCTGCCCATATTCTTTTGATATCATTTGTATTGACTCCTTTCTCATTGATGCCTATTAGTCTCACATTGTTCATCTTTGCATCGTCTTGCAGGTATTGAATTATTTTTTTCCTGCATCCTAGTTGTTTTTAAGAGATCTTTTCTTACTTTTTCACTAGTTGCAATGGTATTTTTTAGGTCAGAAAGTCTATTTTCACTTTCATTCAAATGGTTTTGCCAGCTTGTGATTGAGGTTTTAGTTTCCTGTATATCACTTTGAACCTGTTTCATACATTCTACTTCTTTCCTAAATTGCTTATTCAGGGGTTCCATCATTTTTATATTCTGCTCTATTTTTTTTTTATCAGTGTATTCTTTAGAAGCACTTAGTACTTCTTTGATTATAGTTATCACTACATTTTTTTAGTTCAGAAATTATTTCTGATCTGATTTCTTCTATACCTTTCTGCAGTTGTTTCTTTACTGCCAACACTATTATTTCAGAGATATCTGGTGTGTGATTTCCAGTTTTCTCAGTGCTAGTGTCTTCTGCAGTTGTACTTGGTGGATTTGGGGCCTGAGACTACATTTTGTTTCTTCTCTTTGTCATTTTGTATACCACTGTCTTCTGACCTTTGGTGTAGAGCTTAGATAGAGTTATTACCTTAGCACCAGGTCTGGATCTACAAAGTTCAGATTCCTCCAGGTGGGTGTTGCTTGGATCTGGCTGCTGTGTTCTACTTCTTCCTGCTGCAGTCGTTGGAGTTGAACCCTTTGTGTCACTCTGGCAAGATGTTCTGCTCCTGAATCAGCTGGGTGGGTCTTGCCTCTAGCCTCTTTGCAAGGAGTTCTGCTAAAGGGTTCCACACTGGGCCTGCACCCTGGGTCAAATGAGGATCCAGTGGGCCTCAGGAAGTCTCATTCACACACCAGACCTGAGCTCTGGGTCTTTTCAGTATCCGGTGTGCCCCGGGTCATCTCACTCACTCGCTGGGCCTGCGCTCTGGGTCTATTCAGGATCCGGTGGGCCCCAGGTGGTCTCACGCACTCACCAGGCCTGTACTCTGGGCCTGAGCTCTAGATCTATTCAGGATCTGGTGGCCTCGGCGGTCTTACTCACCCCTGGTCGTTTTTCTTATGCAACTATACTTTCTTTCCCATCTTAATTTTCAAATTAACTCTTCAAAATTATTTCTCTTCTTTCTTTATTATGAAAGTGCTAATTTTTGATTTGTTGCAAGTTCTCTTTTGGCATGCCTAATTGTTTATCCAAGTTGACAGCATAGAATAGAGAGCAATGTAGAATAAAATAATTTAGTCCTAAAAATTAAAGTCTTCCTCCTTCCCCTCACTTCCAAATACATTGTTTATTAAATTTTAAATGTTTTATCATGACTGTTTCTTTCAATAATTTTGTGTCAGATTCTTTGTTGTATAATTTTAGTTCTGAAATCTGCATAAAATTTCTCTTCCCTTTCATACTAGCTGTCCCCTAGTGAGACATAATCACACTAGTTAGTGTTTTTCCACACTAGTTAGCTTTTGAGCTGGCCCTTCGAGAGTCAGCTACTTGTACAGAAGAGCATTGTGTAGGGCAGTGCTTTTAAAGCAAATTGAACTGCAAGATAGTTCGCTCTTGGCCAATATTTTTTGTAATGCTCAGTCAGTTGCTGCATGGTTTTTATGAACTTTATTTTCCTTATGTTATTTCAGATCTTTTTTGTTCTGCGTAAGAAGAACAGCCAAGTGACTTTTCTTCATGTCTTCCATCATACCATCATGCCATGGACCTGGTGGTTTGGAGTCAAATTTGCTGCAGGTAGCCAAGGGAGAGTTGGGATCATGTGATAGAACCAACCCCATCATAGAAACTTTGAAAACAAAATCAAAGAATCAATTTGGTTAACCTCTGACTTCAAATTATTACCTGAAGCATCATGAAGCTATTAGGACACCCTTCTTACACATACAACATTAGTCTGTTTGGATTTTTCTTTTCCTGTAGATCACCAGTAAGCATTTTAAAAATAATTAACAAGCTAATACATAACATGGTAAAAAATTTGGCTTTGTAGGAATGTAGTTAGATAAAATTTCTTTACATGTTCCCAGGAAGTTAAAGTGTTTATGTCAAATTCCATGTCTTACTTGCCTTCATATTCTTAATAAGTCACACCCTATCTTAGTCCACCTTGTATTGGCATGATGAAATACCTAGGTCAGGTTGGTTTTTAGGGACATGAGATTTATCTGCAAATGGCATCATGATAAAGAGAGGTCTTGTACAAGTGAGGAAATAAGAGACGGAGGAGGCTCCACTCTTGTGTAACATCTTGCTATCCAGGCAACTTATCCACTCTGGTAAGAACTAATCCACTTCATGCCAGGAAGGCAGCATTGATCCTTTCAGGATGATCACAACCCAGTCACTTCACTCTTCTAGCTCCTGCACCTTTTAGAACCATCATGTTAGGAACCAAACTTCTGCCATAGGGGCCTGAAAAGATGCATCAGGCTGTGGTGATCCCAACTTTGTAAAGCATTCTAGCATCATAAAAGTTTTGCTAATATGTTTTAGATCAAAGGTAATTTACACAGTTTAACAAGAAGCTTCCTTGGTATATTTCATTCTAGTTCTGTGCTTCTGAATATGTAGAACTGGACAAATCAGGCAATAATTTTGTCGTATCTCTTTTCAAGATGTTTTAAGTGAGTGATATCCTTCAGGATATATTCTTATTTTTATAAACTTTCATTGGAATTTTTATTCCAGATTCTTCAGTATTATGGGTGCATTAAATTATTTTTTATTTTTATTTTAAAGAGAATAAAAATAATTTAAAAGTAAAGAATCAA